TTGCCTCTTTTCCATTTCCATCTTCATTTAGCCCGTTACATGATGTGTTTTTATTTAAGCCTTTTCTCAACTTTTTGCAGTTCCTCAATTATGCAGACAAGCCTAGACCTGTATAGTTTTTAATGCACGTATCATCTGTTCAAAAATTCTACTGAGTGTGCATCAAGCAGCATAAACTTGTTACTAGGACCCCCATCCTATATGGCAGGATTGCCAACATGGAAACAGTGGGCCCACCATACCTTCTATGCTGCCCACAAAAGGTCTCAGTAATATCTCCATAAAAATCCACAATGTACCTGAGGCTGGAATTAGCAGTTTGGTGCCTCCCCCCCCCCTTGACGGTGTGGCCAATGGGGTGTATAACCACACCATTTTATGATCTTGTCTCTTTTCCTGCTCTTTTAGATGTGACAGCCATTTTCTGACTGGAAGTCATGGCACTTTCTTAAAAATTTAAATGTGCCCACTGCACCAAAATGGTTGGGAACCACTGGTACATGAAATCTCTCAGTCTGAACATTTTCTGTGAAATGTTTTACAGGTTCCTTTTTTCTTTCGACGAGGGAGAAACATGAAATGAAAAGTGGTGCTCTTCTTTCTTCCCCTCTTCCATTTTGCCATGGGATGAGCTCCATTGAGCTCAGAAAGATTCCCCCCCCCCCAAGTAAACATGTGTAGGATCTGGCTGTTGATATTTCTTTTCCTTCTTCCACTCTGTCTCCTTCATTTGACACCATCTTTAACTTCTATTGAAAGATTACATGCATGGAGGAATAGAATTGTTCTCATCCAAAAAGGAATGGCTTTGTTAACACACGAGAGTTAATTCAAGTATACAGATATGCACATTTATAGAGAAAAGATTATGCTTACTTTTCTGTTTATATTTCCTGCATCTCCACATACAAATTCTTTATCTCCAGAAACTAACCCATATTTTATTTTTACTTTTTAAACAAAACAAGCAAAACTGCACAAGAAATAAAAGTGTCATTATTTCCCAGCCTGACTCCTGTTACGCTAATACACATTAGCATAGTATTTCTCAAACTTTATCCTCTGGGCCACACTTTCAGAATAAAAATTTGTTTGTGCTACATTGAATTTTTTTATTGACAAGGAATATACTGGAAAACAAAAAGTAACTCATGGCAGTGCTTGATGGCAGAACACAACTACTTTCTAATATGATCATGGGACATACAGAGAGAACTGTATTGAGAGCTGCATTGGTCTCACACCTGCCCACAGTCCTGGCCATCTGCCAAAGTTGAGCCATGGGGGTGGAGTCTGTTTCTTCAATGCATTCCTCACAGCTGGCAAAGCAGCACTCAGCAGGACTGAAGTCTCTTTTTAACAGCTGATGAGCAGAGACATCAGTTCTGCTCTTCACAGGCTTCTTTGCAGGGGTCCCGGCAGGGAACACATTGATGAAGCGGCACCCAGCAAATGGGTCTAACAGCAACAAGTAATATTGAACTGACATCAGCTGATAAATGGAGATTTCAGTCATGCTCTCTGCTGGAATCTGAGCAGGATTTAACCTCCACCCACTTTTCATCAACTGATGACTAGCGGTTAAATCCTGCTGCATTGGGTGCATTGGTGGTTTTTGTCAGTGCAGAGCTAAACCCTGCCTATCAGCTAGAGTCACCCACCCATCAGGCTGGTGTCAGCTGGACAAGGTTTGGGGGAAGTGGCTTCACAGACGAACTTGGACCCCCTGCTGGGCCATGATTGGCTCATGGGCTAGAAGTTCCCCAGCCCTGATTAAAGGACCTCCATTCTGTAACTTTATCTCTCTGAGCAGGCTTATGTCCTGTTCATCCCACTGGGAAAGATGACAAAGTTGTTGCAGCACTAAGGGAGAGCCTCTGTGAGCAACTTGTTCCAACAATGGATAGCTGTGAACTGAGGCAATTTTAGTCTGTGCCTCCAGCCACCTTCACCTGTTCTTCACCACCTTCTGGAAAATAAGAGTCTTGACCTACTGGCTTGAAAATGGGTGTTTGTCCTGTACTCCATGGACCTGTGTTGCAGTCCTTGTGCTCTTGAATGGGTGAGGACCGGGATCACAGCTGCTCCGCAGCTCATCCCACTTGCTCCTCCACTATTCAAGCAATGCTCTCTCCTCCCTTCCCTCCATTGTCATTGCCTTTGCTGGTCTCCAATGTCCCAGCTTCAAGCTACGTAGTTAGAGGGATCCGCCCCCCCAACACAATCTCAATTAGACCAGTTGTGAGGCCATTTGGGATCAGAGCAACTTCTGAGTTTGCCTCTCAACATGTGGGTCATAACTTGAGAGCTCTCACCAATTTTATTTCCTGTCCACATCTACCTGTGACCTGTACCCACAGCTTTGCTAGGCCCTTCTTCACTCTAATCACATAATTACGATTCCTAGAAACAAAGCTACTTCATCTAGCTATGGGACACTCCTCATCATCTGTATCCTTGGTGGCATCAGTTATCTACACTGAGAGCTGGCTTGACTGTAGGTTGGTAGCTCAGAGCTAAGGCAGAACATCCTGTCCCTTAGAAATACTCTCACTGCGGGGCAAAGTCCCTTAGAACAAAGGAATCTTAATTGAGCCTTGCACATTGTTCACACCACTTACTTACCCACTAACAATGGCAATTCCAGTCAGCTGCAATTCCAGTCAGTCTGCTGCTGTCAATAAGGATTTGGCTTGATTTTATCCCAACACCATTGTATAGTCTGGTTATTTTGCTGCTCTCATGGGTCACATAATGGCCACTTACCTGGTCAGAAAGTGGGTGGTGGTTGCAACCTGGTGCTGAAACCTCCCCAGCCATCACAAAGTTTGTAATTGCCCTATCATGGGCAAGCTGAGGGATGGAGCCAGGGTGGAGATAAAGGCTGACTGCATCTAAGCAGGGACTGGGCAAACTGTAAATTGTACAGTGGTACCTCTGGTTACGTACTTAATTTGTTCCGGAGGTCCGTTCTTAACCTGAAACTGTTCTTAACCTGAAGCACCACTTTGGCTAATGGGGCCTCCTGCTGCCGCCGCGCCGCCGGAGCACGATTTCTGTTCTCATCCTGAAGCAAAGTTCTTAACCTGAAGCACTATTTCTGGGTTAGCGGAGTCTGTAACCTGAAGCGTATGTAACCCGAGGTACCACTGTATTCAGAAATAGCCTTTGTTAAAGAATGATGTATGTTACTGCAATGATCAGTTGTTCCGATTAGAAATTGTAATACATTCACTTCCTATATTGTTAATTGATATGAATGGCTTTATTATCTATTGAATCAGTCATCATATTATGAGTCATCACAGAATTGCCTATCAGCACACATTCGTTATCACAGACACTATAAACATATTCTGTCTACAGCCTATCTAGATACATCTCTAAAAATAATGAATTCTGTATAGTATTTTGTAGTCAGTAGTGCCAAGTAAAATCTTCAGGTAGGACATGAAAAGGAGAGGGAATGTTCTGTTATTTTCCTCTCTAGGTGTGATTTTTTTAAAAACCAAAGTCCCTTAAATATTTGGATCTGAGGGTGGGGGAGCAGAGAATCTTTTTATTATTCTTTTGCAATTTGTAATTTGCTACCCAGCTAATTGTTAACAATGTTCCACAGCTCTTAACTGCATGCTCAACAGCTTAACCTTGTGGTCATTAGCAGGTTTGGGAGTTGTTGCAAGGCTGTGAATATATACACTGTTGTGGGTGAATTAAAAGAGTGCTGCTGTGAAACGGTACAACAAACAAAAATAAAGCTTCTTTCATGGGGGAGGGATAGATAAATAATGACTAGGGATCTCAGCTTGCTTTGTTCCTATTTTAATAGTTTACTGTTTTGTGGTTTCAGTAGTAATTAATATGACATTCTAGAAAGCATAAATCCTGCTGAGATATTTAAGTTAGGAGCATCCTCTTGATGGCGTACAAATATATATATATTATATGTGTGTGTGTGTGTGTGTACACACACACACACACACACATACACATACCGTTCCCAGATCTTAACAAGCTGTTTTGATTTACCTTTGAAAGACATTTGAATGGTAAAGTAGTGTGGCCTACTCAAACCATTTTAGTGTCATTGTTAACTAGAACCTCCTTTTGAAATTTATTGCATTCAATTACATTTTTAGAAGAATTTTAATTATGTGCCTGTAAAGAATAAAGATGCTCCAGGCTCCATTTGTTTATCATAGAGGGCCTGGGAAAGAAAAAAAAAAAAATGAGGACAGAGCTTCCCAGCTCATGCAGGGGTTGCAGAGAGAGAGAGATGACTTTTAATTCGACAAGTTCAGAGAGATTTCTTAGTTTGACGCGCACAGCAGGGGGTCTTTGAGCGCCTGGCAATACTTCAGCATTCCAAGCTTTGAAAGTCTTTCCCTGCAGCAGAAATTGTATCAAAAGCCAATGATAATATTCCCTGCAAGGTAAAGCACCCTATTGAAGATTTCTAGAGCTGTTTATTTATTCATCACAGTTTTTTTTTTTAGGACATATCAGGCATATAGGTAATAATTCTTGTAGACGATATAAAAATGCAAATAAATAAATATAAACTCTCATTAGTCTCTTGCCTTGTTATATTTCTTCACTGGTTACATGAACCTATAGACACTGCCATCCATCCCTTTCCGCCCAAAATGTGTCTCTTTACTGCAAATGTCTTTCCCTGTAATTTTAATAAAATCATCATTTCTGTCTACTCTCTACCACCTGCTGTGTGTGTAAGATGTTTATGGCCATCTCCTTCCAGCAAGCTTTCAACGTAATTAATTAATTTTACAGAAGGATATTCCATTTCTTAGGGGGTCTGTTTAAATCCCAATTTTAAAGTAAGTTTTAGATATCCGCTTTCATAGTCAAGATTAAAGCTCTCTTGTTTTGGTATTCCAAAGATAAAATGTTTTCATATTTTTGTATTACCTTCACAGGGAAAGAAAAATAACATATATATATATTTCTCTCCTTGTTTTTGTTCTGTTTGGTCTCCGCAGCAGAGCCGGGAGTGTGAGACTGCGACAACCATTCCCTTGTGTCATGTCATTGTCGGCTATCACAGTGGCAGAATCAGCCAGATCGCTGAAGACAAAAAGTGTCCCTCTTCCTCTTGCTCTTTCAACTGCCACTGGCATCCAAAGTGACCTTGCCTTGTAAATATTGGTGAGTGACCACAAGGGGAAAGAAGCTCCCTGCTGAAGGAGAACTTCTTTTTTTGGGGGGGGGGCTGTAGTGGCCTGAGGGCACTACATTGCTTAAAACTGTGTTTTCACATGGGGTAAACATTGGGGACGTGTGCAGAAAAAAATTATGCGCAAGATTTTTCTTTCTTTGTTTTAATCACTATTCCATATAACCTACATTTCTATTTTTAACTTAAAGGCACATACTAATGCTTTTTGCAGATTACATGAGCAACATGAAATCATTGCCTTGCTCGAGATTTAGGAAAGCCTCTGTCTCTCTCAAAGACGACTTATGTACTATTCCCTGAGGCTTCTGTTGATGCATCCCCCCCACTCCAAAAAAGGTAGTATAGGAAGTGTAACACAGAGATGGAACACACAGGCAGACCCAAGACACTCACCCCTCCCCCAAATATTTTTTTGTTGTTTCTACTGCTGCTGCTGCAGTTCAGAGGTTTGTGGTTTTGTCCCACATCTACAAAAACACAGAAGAAAAATAATCAGTACTCCTTTGTGTCATGTTAGAACCAAAGCTATGGGGGTAGTGAATAGCAGCCATCTGGTGTTCTCTGAAGAAAGATGTATGTTCCAATAATCACTGCCTGATATTAAAGCATGCCATAATCTGTGATTATTAGCATTACCCGGTCAATATTTCAGAACTAGTACACGCTTTAGAGTTCTGGAGTTCTGAACTAACAGGCATCTGTTACTCTTTTTGCATTGTAGTAATCTGGAATATGAGGAAAGTCCTTTCTCCCTCCCCTTTTGAAAATGGGGGGATTATACTTGAAATAAGAGAGAGCAGTCAGTCCTAGTGATGGCAGCTTCCTTGTCTTATCTTCTTTAGAATCCTTGGAAATACGGAATCAGAGTGGAGTTTGGGCCAATGCAAACAAAGTTTCCTTGCCTAAATGAACTAGGAAAAGAAATGGGTGCATTAGTGCAACACACAGTTGAGCCTGGGGGTATTTTTAATGCTAAAACGGGTCTGAGACTTGACTAACCTGTCTCTAATAGGGAATTGAGAACTATATTCAGTAGGGCACTTCTACTACAACGAAATCAATTTTCTTTCTCCTAGCATCTTCTCAAGTCTTAGACATAAATTTTTCACTATCTACAATTCATCCTTCGGGTTTTGCATTAGCTCTGAGGAACGATTGGGAAGTTTAGAAGGATTCCTGTCTTCAAAGGATGATGTTTGACATTTAATTCAAATGCACAACCTCTTGCACACAATAATACTTATGAACTTCCAAATATTTCCTCATAACTATAGAGTTATGCCCAGACCCTTCTAATCTCTGGATCCAGCAACTGTTCAAATATAAGCAAGGATTCAGTTCCTGGAATAGCCAAGCTAGTTTCCTGGTAAGGGGATAGCCGAGGTAATGAGCCATTAAGGGAACAAAGGAAGTGGATCTGTGCCATATAGAAAATAGGTAGGGCCCCTCAACTGGTTGGTAGTTAGAAAGACAAAGGCCAGAGAGGAGAGTTGACTGATGTGAGCTAGAAGCCGCAAGGCAGGCTGGGAAGCCAGAGAGTCACAGTGAAGCTTGATTTCTGCTTGAATCTAAGGCTGTGGCTATGGAGGAAGCAAGGCCTGCTTGGGTATTAATGCTGCAGCTCAAGTTACTAATTTGTGTAAGTAAAGCACATGTCATAAAGACTACATGTGCTCATTCTGAAGGAAACAGGGGTAACTGGACGGAACCCCTGGAACCTTGCACCACTCAGTAATTGGGGTGGCATGCAACAATAATGTTACTACAAATCCGTTCCAGAGGCCCATCCTTATGGCAAAATGGGTCACTGGTAGAAGCGCCGCTGTGCGCAGGCACATTTGGCGGCAGCCCGCTTCTGCGCATGTGCAGACAACGACGGCTGCTTCTGTGCGTGCGTGAATCATGGCAAACCAGTGTTTACTTCTGGGTTTGCCACGGTCATGACTTGGAACGGGCCTAAGTAGAGCAGGACAGAGGTGTGTGTGTGTGTGTGTGGAGGCATGAGGCATGTGACTTTTTGGGGAGATAAGCATCCTAATTTTAGAAGGAAAGGTCCCCTTCAGTCCTCTCACCAATCGTCTTTAAGCCTTGGACCTTGTTCTGTTGGGACTGCTCTCTGCAGCTCCATGTTTCTTCTTTAGTGCCATGCACTAGTGCTGTACTTGGGGTCCAGGGGAATCTGCCATGAGCAGATTCTCTACACGTTCATAGGAATAATCACATAGCACCAAGTGGAAGAACTAGGAAATAGCTTCTTTTAGTCACCTCACATGGGGCCTTTAGTCCACCTTTCTTCCCTGAGAATAATTCTCTGAATGTGTTGATAGTTGCTATATATTTTGCATTTTGCGGAAAACTATAATGCCTTTCTTTTCCATTGGTCAAGAATAGGTATGGAAGGATCTGTCAAATTTGATTCTCTTCATTTCTCATTTTTCCAGTCTTAAATTCAGTTCTCCACATTTCTGCTTCAGTTTGCAGGAATTTTTCTTAAAAAAAAATAATTATCGTGAAAATTCACCAGCATTTTAGTATAGCTTTACCCTAATAAATATATATATTTGTATGCTGTTTTGACTAGTGTACACATTTTGCAAGCAGTTTCTCCTAACAGAACACACTTTTGTAAGTGTTTCCACTAACATTGTCACTTGTGTGCTCATTTTTACCTAGTATTTGCATTTTTGTAACCATTGGTTAGTTGGAAAACTGTGTTACAAAATTCAGATAATTATAAATTTCAAAGAATGGCTGTGTTTCAGTTTTCATATTGTTTTGGATTTGACAAATTTGCCTTTAAATGTAAACTGAATTAGATTTCCCCTCTTTTCCTAGTCAAGAACCAAGTTCCTTTCTAGACTGATAAAAACCAGGAAGTGATCCAGAATTATTTGTATACAGTTGCTCTAAACCTAATCCATAAAAAAAAAAAGTCATGTGGCTATTACTTTTCTTGATAATGTATTTTAGTGATTTGTCTTGGGACTGCAGTTTACTTTTTGTTTATTTTTTAAAGTGGGCTTGTGATAGCTTCTCTTTGAACAGGGTGTTTGTGTTAAACAACATTCTGCCAGAAATTAATTTTTTACGTAGTGATGTCTTATTTACTGTAAAGATTCCAAAGCAAATGTGCTCTGTTGCTGCTGCTTTTCTTCCTATTCTGTATTGGAACAAGTGGCAAGGTAAGGTGCAGGGGGCTTAACCCATAACATATCAGGTTTCTTTATATATATAAAAAAAATGCTGCCAGACTATTTTTCAGAAGTTTTCCGTGAAAGTTATATATAAAAAGCTTTAAAGACATGTTTGCCACTTTGAAGTCTGTGTCTCTGAAGTACACATAGAGGCTTAATGAGGACACTTCCATGCTGCTTGGTACAAATATTGATTGACTGTACACACTTGCATTAGCTTCCAGCATCATGAGCAATCCACAGTCCTAGACAAGTGGGTTTTTTTGCTATCAGTTGTGATTTCATAAAATACTTTTCCATTTTAGGGTTTTAAGGTGTCCTTGTTCCTCAGATGTGTTTTCCCTGATGTTGAAAGGAAAATGTGGTCAATAACTATATAGAACTATGCTTATTATTATTATTATTATTATTATTATTACTTATTCAGTTTATATACTGAATAAGGTTTATGTGATTGGTTGTTGAATCATTCTTACTGCACAATGGGAATAATGAGGGAGAGAGCAATGATAAGTTACATATTGTAATACTCATGGAGCACAATTCACCAAGGCGATCCTTTACACTTGGGGCTGCTCTGCACAGTAACAAGAGGTTTAGACATACAGTAGTTTTAGCTCCATGTGAGTATCCCCAAAGAGGATACCCTAGACTTTAAGTGAGATAATGTATAAACTTATGACGAACAATATTCACTATGAGCTATCTGTAATTTTTTGACAGAGTTATTCATCGAAGAAATTCATAGGTAACTTTTAATATTAGATGTATGTGACTGTTTCACAGTTGTGCTTGATAAATTGTGAAGACAACATGGTGAATTTATCAACTAAATGAATCATTGAATTCATTCATTTATCTCCTTTGGAGAGATCCTTAGTGAGAAAATGGAGGGGGTGGAATTGTGAAGCAGCCCTCTCATAAAAATAATAAAAATAAGATTTTCTTGCTCACATGGTACTCTGATAAGTTGCTTTGTTTGATTACAAAGAATGGCCTAAAATGAGTTTTATGCAGATTTTTTTAACAATAGAACACATTGTGTTATGTGCAATTTTACTGGAAAGCATTTTGAGATACAGCATTTACTAAATCAACTGACTGTGGAAGGAAATTAAGAAAGAAACTGACTGTGGAAGGAAATTAAGGAAAGATTAAGAGCATATATGTGTTCTAGGGTCCATGCTTTTAAAATTGCATATATTGATAAAGGTGTTCCAAAATATAAAATATAAGATTATTCTTTTACATACTTAATGGCATTAATGATTTTTCTGGCAACAGAAAACACAGCAGTTTATGCTTCAGATCCGGCATGTGGAGCTTGGTTGTTGTTGTTTTTGTTGCCACTTATTAGTTTATTTTACTAAAACTAACCCAACGTGACTTCCAAAGTAGTACAAGTATTAAAAAACAATGTAAAACAAAAACAGTTAAAAAAATTAAAAGCACATTCGCCACTAAAAAAGACCATTCTCATGTTGCCACTCCACACCTCCCTTAGAAGGAGCAAATTAAGTGATGAATGCATTGTCTGGGTTGGTTCATGTAAGGAAAAGCAATCCTTGAGATATGGGATCCTGAGCCACATCAGGCTTTATAAATAAAAGCCAGCACTTTGAATTGAGTCTGAAAACTGACTAGTAGCCAGTGCAATCAGACCAGAATTGGTTTTATATACTCAGACCATCTGGTCCTGGTCAGCAATCTAGCCGCTGAATTATTCATGTTATTGTGTGCCAGGGAAATGCCCTCTGAAGATATGGTGGTGTTAA